TCAACTCATCGCCGCTCATGGATATAGGGATGATGAGGCTTTTGGAGAGCTTAAGGATTCAGGGTAACTTTCTTCTCATCCCTGCGCTTGCTGGGCAAAGCCTTCGACCCCTACCGCTGAACCGTCGTGAAGCTTCTCAGCTGGGTGCATGTGCAGCCACTGAGTTCCTACCGTGCATGTGCAATGGCCAACGCACCCTCCATCCATAGCAATCATGCAGCGGTCCTCACGCGCTGAGCCCGCATGGTGAAGACAAAAAGTTGGCCAACCTTAATGAAAATGCCATGGAAAACTTTCCATGTTGTGCGCCCATTCGATGACCAGGCATTTGAGTAGCTTAAGTAGCTTAAGAATTCATATGCTTGCTGGGCTGGTACTGGCTGCATGACAGCCGGGCGTTTGAAAGGTAACTTTGCAATTGAGATGATTGTTAACTGCGTATGCCATGCTTGCTGGGGCTCTGGGTTGCCGTTTGTGCGCAGAAGTGGTTGGTTAGCTGGTTGGCGTGCAGCCAGCGAGAGAATGAGAACGTATTATTCAGAAACTGGTCTCAACCGATTTGGTTGTGCTTGCTGAGCCTGTATATTTACAAGCAATGCGTGCCGCAGAACTAGATAGTTTCCTTTTTTGCTCTGTGCTTTACTCATGGACAGAGTAATTGGCCATGGCTTAGCTGTTCGCAACGGTAGCCATCCAGATAAGCGCCTAAATGCGCAATATCTAATGCATGACTTGCTTATGCAAAGCTTCCGCTCAGGCTTGCGAGCGCCCAGGCGAGAAAGAAAACGGAAACAAACGCCATCCGCTGCTGTGTAGCAATGATACTTTTCGAAAAAAACGGCCCTGTTCCCGTCCCCTATAATTTCTACCACCACAGCAATTTGGAATCCACCTGCTGCTGTTTCCGCTGTTGCTGCTTCACAGATACTTCTGGTGCTACTTATGCGGATGGCAGCTGCAGCAGCGATCCCCCGACTGGGTCTGCACGTCGCTGGTACTTCTGCTGTCCTTCTTATGGCTTTCGCTTGTGCTGCAAAGTGTGGGCGTTTGCGAAATCACCGCGTGTGGGAGTTGCCGAAGCGTAGAGCATCTGCTGTTTGCGAGCTGCTGCTGTGGCTGCTGCTACCCTGACGGCCGCTTTTGCGTTTGCTGTGTGTGTGTTACTGCTGTGGCTGTTGCAGGTGCTGATATGGCAATTACTGCTGCTGGTATGCCAGCTGATGCTGCTTTGCTTCCTCCGCAGCACTGACGTCAGTTGCCAGTGCAGTTGCTGCTGGTGCTTCTTGTGCTGCAGGAGGTGCATTTACATTTCCTCATTGCTACAACACACCGGAAGTAAGCGCTGATATTCTGACGCCTCTAAAATGATTCCACAAAGCTGCTGTTGTTGCTTCCCGTGGTGATGATCCTGGTGCATTTGTAGCTAGTGTTGCAGCTGCTGCTGAAATTGTCTTGAAGAGGAGCTTACACTTTTGGGTGATGACAGGATGGGGACTCTCCGACGGTTCTGCGTATGCAAAAACAAACATTAGGCTAGTGCGGCCGTTGCTGCTCGTGATGCTCCCGTTACTGTTGCTGCTATTGCTGCAGCGAATGTTGGTGAGAGAGAGCAACGTTTGGCAACAGTGTTTGAAGCAAGGCCTGGTCACTACAGCAAGGCCTCAATTGTTTCTGCTGATATCTCGCGAAGCGCCACAACATATCTTCTACAGACAACAAGACAGCCCGAAACAGACAATCCACAGAGGCGAGCAGGGACCGCAAACAAACGAACAACAGCCCCGACCATTCCGGCAAGTGCAACAGCGGCAGCAAAGCCAGTGGCAGTGGCAGTAACACCTGCCGTCCCTGCCAGCTGCAGTTGAGAGCTGGCAGGCGCTGTTCTCACCACATGAGGCTTATTACGATGGGGGCTTCCCTAGAGTCCCCAGATCTATCGGCTCAGCGGCTGTGAGCAGCACTTCAAGGCGGAGCAGCAGCTGCTGTGGGTTCCTGCATTTCTCATCGATTCATCGGCTGACGCAAGCGGTCAAATCTTGGTCGCAGCCCAATATGCTGGTGAGCATGAAGTGCAGTAGAGGCTGGCAGGGAACACCGCTGCTCACCGCGGTGCGCACACTACAGTACGTTGCAAGCTTGCACACCTGTAAGCAGTCGTTGCACGCATGTACGCAGTGGCTCTTTGGTGCGTGCAGCTGTAATCTCCATGCATCCCTTCGCTGCCTGCGCGAATGTGTGTTGGAGGCTTGCTCTGGGTCTCTACATGCTTCCATCGAATGGGTAGTAGAGTGCCTGCTTCTACTCATTGTATCCGTTTGCATATATATAGTTGTTCCATCCATGCATGCCTAGTTTACTTGCATGCATGCATGCATTTTCTTGCGTGCATTTGGTGTCTAGTTTGGTTAGATTTTGGTTTCTGTGTGCACCATTGAGAGGATAATGCATGTTGCGGCAGCAGTTGCGCTGCCTCTGAATGGATACGTATGCTTGCAGTGAAGGTAATGAACGTAAAGGAATGGCGTGTTACAGGTCGTCTTATGAACTGTCTCTGCTGGTGCTAGCTTTGCAGCTAGGCCGTGTCAGCGTATCTTCATTTGGCGTACCCAAGGCAAATGCTTGCATGTAAACAACGGACGGCAAGCGGTTGCTACAGTGCTGCAGTCTTACACCGGACTCGAATTAGCGCTACGAAATTGCCTTAACAAATTTGCTGCAGGTGGAACTGCACGAGCTGGACCAAGACCGCAGCAACATCAGTTGCAACAATCGATGTTTTTAACGGTGTGAATGCGAGGTTTAAACTGTAGTGCGACCGCCATATGAAAGGGCTGAAAGTAGTCCATCAAGTAGACTCCTGGACTTCGCAAAGAAGCTAAGACAGAGCGCACAGGCGCACTTTGCACCCTAAATGACACTTAATGGCCACGAAGTTGGCCAAGCAGAAGCAGCTCGCCTACGGTTGCGCCCGCCTATTACACACTCGCAGCGTATGGATATCGCCTTTGGGCTATGCTTTGATTGGACAGTCATGTGGCGTCGGAGCCAGAGTATTTTCTGAAGTTTCACATATTTTGAGGTTCGGAAGTTCATCGGTACGTTACGAGGTTGTTGGTAGCGGCGCTGTTGTATGCTACTGAAAAGGGTGAGCAGGGGGCAAATGAACCGGGCAAATGTGGTGACGATCTTGAAACATCCATGACGCTTCCCTGGGGCTGCGTATGAATTCCCAAGCATGTTCGTATTGCCTGAAGAGCTACGCTTTTCCTACATTTTGCTTTGTTTTCGCATAACTACCTGCCGCAGCCGTGGGACTTTACGTCACCTTTTTCTGAGGAGAGTTACGGCAAGCGCTGCTGGTGTATACAACCAATCTTTATTTTGTTTTGAGTCAGTTGCCCTTCTCTGGGTACGACGGGGCCGTCCGGAAAGTCGGCGATGCAGCCAAGTCCCGGAGGGCTAGCCAACAATCCAACAAGTGAGATGGATATGTTTCATGCAGCGTTGATCAGGTGTTGTTCAGTGAGCCGCAAGTGTTGCGGAGTCGTCGTTCTATGTGCGGCAAGTGCTGCTCACACACTCAGCTTGTGTTGCTCCATGGTATGGCGGTCTAAACTTGTGCGTTGGGAGATTCCTTGGCATATGTTCATCCTATGTGCGAATGACTTGGGCAGAACCGGTTTGTAATACTCCCGCATTTGTCGAATTTTTAGTGCTAAGGGTTGCCTCTCCGCATGCCTTTCCGTCTGTCCTCTTGATTGGGCCGTCCAACGCCCAGGACGCTGCTCCTCGGTACAGCTCGGTACAGCTATTCTCTCCTGAACACGTGGGGATGTTGAATGCTATAATTTCTTCCCTGCAAAATAAGCTACTGCTGCCACAGGGCAACTCCCACCTAATACATAGCTGCAGGACAGGTAGTTTTGTATTGCTGTCTCTATAAGCATCTAGTCTCCCTTGGAGGGCGTTTTACTCTGCCGTGCCGAAGGGGCAGTGAGCTTCAGCGCGTTTACGCGAAGGCTAGTTGTAGCCGACAAAGAATGTCTCAAGTATTCCCCATTAGCCGACGACGCAGACGTTCGAAGACCGCTTTTGCTACACATGCATCCGCGTGCGCAAAGCTGCATCACATGGCTGCGGGGAGCTGGCGGGAGTGCTGAAAACAGAAGGCTGATCAAAGCTCACCTGTTGAGCATAACAGAGTCAGATACGGGTAGCGATAGTGCTTCTGGGCCAGTGCGCCTTAAGACCAACGCTTGCACAAATTCTGAGTCTGTACGTGCCGTCAGCGTCGTATGCAGTTTAGCATGCGACAGACGCTATAGTCAGGCCAAGCCTTGGAGAAACACTTTGTAGCGCTGCATCCAAATGCCCAGCACAGCTGCTGTCATCGAGATATTTGCTACTGTGCTTGGACAGTGCTCCTGTGGTGAGCTGGTAGACACGATTTACAAGGTTCTACGGGTGTACGCANTACTGTGCTTGGACAGTGCTCCTGTGGTGAGCTGGTAGACACGATTTACAAGGTTCTACGGGTGTACGCAGCAGTATCCTCTTTACCGAATCTGACGTTTTTTCACGCGGGAAGCGCGTTGCGTAGCGTTCCAGATACAGCATTCTGAAAGCTGAAATCCAGCCTGTGATGAGGAAGTGGCGGCTGCCCTCTCTACTGGCTCTTGAGAACAGGATCAGCACCTAGAGGGTTAGCTCGATCTTCTCTGGTTGCGCTTCACGTCACTTGCGGCTTACAAATGTGGACAGCTTCTGCATGCGCGCCAAAAGGGAATCCCTCTCCGCTTCTGCAAGATGGGCATACGCAAAATATACAACTTCCGGTGTTTCATATTGTGCAACTCCATAGCTGACAGTCAACGTGTTGAAACGCTTCTTAAATATCTGCAGTCGCAGTCTGAGACTAAAAACGTAGTGGCGGTCGGACCTAGTTTCATTACAGTAGTTTGAACAGCCTTTAACAGCTGCTGTTGTTGCTTCTGTTGCTGATGCAAAAGCTTCGCGAAGTCAGCTCGCACCAACTGTTGCGTTCCTTGGAGAAGGCGCACTCGTAGCAGGATTTCGAGGATGGTAGCTTGAAAACCCCTACAAATGGAGTCTGAAACCCCGGTAAATTCGGTGACTCTCTTAGTGGTGCTGTATGCTGAGCATGAAGGAGCACGCCCGGCGATACACTGGGGTGGGACTGATTGTGGGGATGAGAGTGATGGTGATTCTTCGACTGTCGTGGTGCTGTTAGGAGTCAGATGCTGCAGTAATAGGAGCGCTTTGCAGACAGAGAGCTCGTATTCCAGTCTTCCCTGGATCTGCGTCCTTGTTGAAGTGAGTATGCCGGGAGCCGCCGATGGATCTGACAATGGGCTTACTATTTCACCGTGGGCCAGTTTGCTGCCACCACAGGGCGTTGAAGTTCGCTTCGCTGGAAGCGAGCTATCCGGGTGTGGAATTGAACGCCCCTTTCGAGAAGTTTCCGATGCGCCATCTGACGTTTGCTGTGCCGGAGCATCAGACGGTTCTTGCGGAGCACAGCTAGGCTGCCTTAGTAAGTGATGGTACGCAGTATCGTCAGCGACGAATGCTTCTTGGTAGGATAAATCGTCTGCTGCGACTGAGCAGCCTTCAGCGTGTAATCCCTGCGGAGATCCTTCATTGCCGGGCTGCTTCCCTCCAACTCTAATCTCTGCGCATCCGGCATGCTGACGGACTACACCCCTGAGGTAGCGAACTACACATAATGATGCCTGAAAGGCGTCGGCAAGGGAGGTGAACGCGCAAGGCCTTAGATCCAGCTTTTTCAGTTGCGAGATACTGGCCAGGTATTCGGTGGATGTCTGCGTTTCACACGTGACTCCTCCTTCACGTTCCTGCAGGGTCTGCTGTGCGGATCCATCTCGACCAGTTAGAACGCTACCAGGTTGCTCGTCGCCTGTACTACCAACCGCAGGTCCTTCCGTGTCCGTCTTGCAAGTAGGGGGCGACTTACAGGAAAGAAGGTGTCGCTGCTCAGCGCTTCTATGATTGGAAGAAGTAATTTCTGAAGGTAATATTTCATCAGGAATCGCCTCCCCACGCATAGAGCTGGCTGGTGTCTGGTGAGTTGCTGGACAGTTCGGGTCGTTTGACGATTCCATCGTCAGACGGAACGACGGTATCGAAGTTTCCCCGCAGTGACCAGCCAAGAATACAACCAAATGAAAAAGCTCGCGGGGTTTTCAGTGAGAGATGAATGCCTTGATCAGACGCTCGCGGGCAACTTTGAGACCAGACAAGACGTTTGTATGTGTCGTGTGACACGCCAGAATTTGCACCGTGCCAAGGATACTAATAGCAAGGAAGCAGAAGCCTTGACACAAATTTCTTAAGACAGTTTCAACGAACTATTAAGCAAAGGTATTTCACGTCTCATTTCGGAGCAGCACACTGGAGTCGAAGCACCACGCCGCCGCATGCTCGCTTCATCGCCGACGGTGCTACACAGGAAACTCTGTGTCTGCCCCGAAAGGCCAGTTCAATATAGGATTCCTGTGTTTGGAGTTTTGCCCAAACGCCAGCCGTAATAATTTAAGGTAGTCCACTCTCTTGTATTCACCTCCAACATGCCAAAGAGACACCACCAGTGGGGCGTCCTCCAGCGGCTGTTACTGACTGGCCTGGGTGAGAACGGCGCACGCCTCTGATATATACTGTGCGGTATTGGTTAAATGCGCAGAAATAGTGGCAGCTTCCAAGAGAGTACACAGGCCTCTGGCGCCTCGAGTTCCACCGGGAGTATAGTGACCGAGGCCGGGTGTAGCGGTGTCGTCGCCCTTAGCCGAGGACCGCGAGTGCCCTACACTGTAGTCAAAAGAATTAAGGGCTTCAGAAAGCAGTTGACTTTCCCTCCGTTCTCAGGGCGTCCTGGGGACAGTGGCGCAGGGGCCAAGTGTGGCGTGTCCTCTGGAGTCGGTAATTTAACTTATACTCGCGTGCAGGCTGGTTAGTGAGGGCCAAGTTAGTGTCTAATAACGACTGTCTACAATGTCGATGGTGCTTTAGTCATACTTTTATTTGGGACGTTGGCCTGGCACCACACTGTAGAAGGAACATAATCTGCAGCCATAGCAGCTTTCACCTAATGTCTGACAGTAGCGCGCACTGCTGCAACATGAGTCTCAATTTCGGCCTAAATCTCCCCCATAGGGCGACAAATATTTGATAAGGGCAAGTTTCCAGTTAGGAGGCAGACATTTCGAGGAATTTCGAGTAATAACGATGTCATCGGAGGAATGTTCAATGCACTCGGCTATTACTTCTCGCCATTTAGCTGAAAAGCTGTTGTACTGTGATAAGCCGTGCATATTGGGTTGAATCTAAACAGAACGCACGGGTAGACGAAGACACTATGGGGGTTCTCACTGTTCCCATTCTTTTTCATTTAGCCAGATGAACTGTGAGCGGTCTGAAAAATTCCATCTANCTACTGCAGTCTTGCGGTAGGAGCAGTATACTGAACAACTGCCGACTCTTCCTCCTCCTGTTCAACCCCTTTTCCTCCAGTTGCACTTTGCAACTGAAGGAAGCTTCAAAGACAAATTTGAAGCATCTACCGGTTGCCAACCCGCTGCCGTGAGCTTTCGTATTTCTAGTGCCCCTGTTCCCCACATACTGCACTTTGTAATTGTAGTTGTAGTTGTTTTCCTTTTAAATTGGACTTTCTGTCGATTTGCCTACCAGGCAAATTCGAGCATTCGGTGCATCGTAGGCCGAGAACTCGGTGCATTCAGTGAGCCGTGCAAAATCCAATTTATAAAACGAGAGCCCTCAATCAGCCGAGGACTGCAGTGAGCTCCAGTAAAGTGGAGTTGGTGTCAGCTACTTTTCAAGAACTCTTATATTTATGAACTTCACTCTCCACGTGTCTTTGCACGGCTGCACAAAGGACCAGGCGCCTTTGTGCACAGGGCAGGGGCGGCGAGGTGGCGTCCCGTCATGAGTTACAGCGCCCCTTGCTGCAGCTCCTCCTGCAAGGCAACATCAGGTGTAAGCATAACCATGTCTCTGTCTGTTGAAGGGGCCACCATCATAAGCAATTGTTAAACATTGACTTGGCCCCCAGTAAACAGCCTGCGAGCACGTAGATATATACATACTTTAGACAGAGTATGCATCAAATTACAATGCATTGCCCAGCACATCAGAGACGCCTTCATAGCTCCTCAAGAGCAGTTCTCACACTTCATTGGGACTACCCATACTACCTTTTTCAGTAGCGTTGCATGCTGTGAACCATATTGTGCTTGCCACTCAAACCGAAGTCACCAACAGCGAAGTCGAAGGTACTGCGGTCCAGCCATCTACGCCAAAGTTGGAGCTCCCTGTAGCTGGCCAAGGGGAGTACGTTTCCACGGGTAGAGCTAATACGCCTTTCGCCACTCGTCACCTGGCAAGGCAGGGTTCGAATCAGAGGTTGTACGCCATCCGTATACACCTGATAAAGACGGTCTTTAAAAGGGAGCTCCGTCTAAGCAAAACCCCAAGGCGAGAAGACAATATGCACAAATATTATGCTTAGCCTAATATTTCAAGCCACAAGGGTTGTCCGGACTCAAGCCTCCAGTAACGACTGTGGGTCGATTGGCGCCAGCTGCCGATCCTTGCGGCTGTGGAATATCCAACTATCCGCGGCTGTAGACTTGTTTATCGCTGCAAGTCAAATCGATAATACATTTTACTTTAGCACAGCACCTCGGAAATCCTGGAAGGCATTTTAGTTCCTGGAACGCCAGCCAACCTTGTCTTGGGGCTCGTTGTGGNACCTCGGAAATCCTGGAAGGCATTTTAGTTCCTGGAACGCCAGCCAACCTTGTCTTGGGGCTCGTTGTGGCGTGACAAGCCATCGGCGTCGGCATTTGTAGAAAGCATCGCAGTCGCTGAAACTCAGATTGCCATTTTTGTTTTGCCCTTCTATTTAAGGCTGAGGAAGCAGAAGAGCAGCGCAGCAAGCCACCCAAGGAGGGCTGGATAGGTATCCTTCGATGCTGGGGCGATATATATCCTTCTGGAATGCACTGCATGAACTCCGAGAGCCCTGGCTCGAAGGGCACGGAGTGGCATGACTCGATAGATAAGCAGAGCCGGCGTGTAGCCGGTTCTGGCGAGCCTGCGGCTTGTGTTCCGGCGCAGAGCTCGTGTACAACAAAGAAGAATGCGGAACTAGACCGCCCACTCAACCAGCTCATCGTGACCGAGCTGGGTTGTAACGCTGGTGTCGTCGGAGGCTTAGAACAGGAAAATGAGCTCTCTAAATGCGTGTCAAGTGACGCGCGTTGCCAAGATTGCTGCCCGCGGAAGCGGGGCGCGTCGCATACCTCAGCCCCTGCAGAGTCCGAAGGGGCTACAGATATGGCCAGTGAGGGAGAACGAGCTAAATATACACCCCCCCGTGTAGAAGACCGAAACTCTGGGGTGCAGCCGAGGCCTGCTAAGTGCTTCAGATCAGCACAGGAACTGTCGTTCAGTGGAGGCGCACCGGCGGGGATTGCCGATCCACGAACCGAAGAGCACCATTTGGAAAATACAGGATTGGTNGTGGAGGCGCACCGGCGGGGATTGCCGATCCACGAACCGAAGAGCACCATTTGGAAAATACAGGATTGGTCTCAGTGACACCGGAGGAGACTCAAAACATCGACTCAGCTGAAGGTCTGCTAGAAGGGTCTGTCACGGGTGAAGTATCCAGCGACCAGCGACACTCTCTTTCCGTAAACCCCTCCGAGCTGTATCAGTCGGCATGGATTCTCGCCCCGATGGTGCGGATAAGCACCTTGCCATTCCGGCTAGAATGCCTCAAGTACGGTGCAGGTGAGGCTGGGAATGTTAATGTGGAATGTAGGCGAAAGTATCATTCAGAAGTATACAGAGGTTGCTGCTGGAGGGATAGTGCACTCGGGGCTTCTTGGGTGTGTTCCCAGACATTGTCTACTCAGAAGAAATAGTGGACAGAAAGCTCATTGATGCAAAGCGGTACATCAACAAGGACTTTGGAACTGTCGGTGAGTGCGCAGCAAGCCTTCCACATAGTACCGGCAAATGCGTTCTCCCGCTCCCCGGTTGCTTCCACACCACTTGAGAAGAAAGCGAACATGTCCAGAAACTCTTGGCTCATTTGTCGTACTTGTAGA